CGTTGATTGAGAAAGGGGATGGGGGGGGGGGGAATGGACAAAGATCTGGGATCAGAGATCTGAGATTCGCGTGGAAACTGTTTTATAAAGAGGTATCTTGGTGTGTCCCCCTCACGGCCACAGATGACGGTTGAGAGCACTTGGGGAGCATACAGTTCTCCCCTCCAGTAGAGGATGGCCAGGTGGAGCGTCTTGGCGGAACCTTCCAAAAAAAGGCCCAATGTTCTGCAGATGACAACGAGCCCCTCCTCCTGAGAGACAAAGGCACCAGTCTCCGGCTGCAGTCCGGGAGCCATTCAGACCAGAAGAGACCAGGTTTCCTCAACTTTCTAAACAGGCTTCTTTGTCAGCCGGTCGTTGCCACCCTTCCGCTATTAGTGCCCAACAGGTGGAAGGAAGAACTCCTGTCCCTGCTCTGCATGGCGCTTCTCTCCCCTCCGCTGATGCCTGCTGCTCCGGAAGGCAGCAAAACCTGCTGGAATACGGACAGCTGCAGAGACCAGTGTCGAGACCACTGTAGAATAATTTACTTTGATTCAATCTGTGGACTTTGTACAAGTTGCCAGACGGGAAGGGGGAGGGGAGGTGAGGGGAGGTTTGTGTTTGTTTTTGAAACGTTGCAGGCCTTGGTGAAGTGTTGAGACAGTCTGTGAGCTCTTAGGACCTGAAGACACCACTGGTCACCTGTCCCCTTCTCTTGGATCCATTTGGTTTTTCTTTGACATCACCTCCGTTTTCACACTACGCACACGGCCAAAACCCCCTCCAAAGTCACGTTCCGGTCAGCTGAGGAAAGAGAAAGCAAGGAATCAGACAAGGTGTCACTTGAAAACCACTCCGTTCAGGATTTGGAGTACCGAACTCGTTTGGAACCAACGAAGTAGAAGTCTTTTTTACTTTTCACTTCATTTCCCACTTTCTTTGTTTCCACTGCCTTTTAAAAAAAGCAAACAGCTTACTTGTGTGAACAGTCAATATTAGTCAAGGATGCCAACTTCTTACCAAATGCATATTTAAGACCCAGTTCACAAAGGCACATAAGAACATGAGAGAAGCCAATGTTGGATCAGGCCAGTGGCCCATCCAGTCCAACACTCTGTCACACAGTGGCCAGAAATACCAGGTGCCATCAGGAGGTCCAGCAGTGGGGCCAGGACACTAGAAGCCCTCCCACCATTGACCCCCCCCCCAAGCACCAAGAATACAGAGCATCACTTGCCCCAGACCAAGAGTTCCTAAGAACATAAGAGAAGCCAATGTTGGATCAGGCCAGTGGCCCATCCAGTCCAACACTATGTGTCACACAGTGGCCAGAAATACCAGGTGCCATCAGGAGGTCCAGCAGTGGGACCAGGACACTCCCACCGTTGACCCCCCCCCCAAGCACCAAGAATACAGAGCATCACTTGCCCCGGAGTTCCTATCTATATCTTGTGGCTAATAGCCACCGATGGACCTCTGCTCCATATGTTTATCTAATTCCCTCTTGAAGCCGTCCATGCTTGCAGCCGCCACCACCTCCTGTGGCAGGGAATTCCATGTGTTAATCACTCTTTGGGTGAAGAAGGACTTCCTTTTATGCACCACTTGATATTTTGCCAACCAATGATATGCCGGTGAATGTATGACCTGCCTCTACCGAACAGCACTGCATTTATTGTGGCAGCCTGATGGATCTATCTGTACTGGCCGGCCTTACCCCATCCAAGTCACTGTTTGATGCTGCTAGTGGTGAATGAGGACTTCAGCTGTGGGAAGCTGCCCTGAGCCATTACACAACAGCATCCGGGTGCAGAAAACATTTTAAGCCTTCCTCAGTTCCCATGCCCCTTAAGCCATGCCCATCTAATCTCCAAAACCAAGAAGCAACTTAGTAAAACAAAAGCAAAAACAATCCCCTTAAAGGCAGATACCATCTCTAGCACCTGCTTTAAAATAAGCTGAAGGGAGAAGATTCGAGTCTAACTGTAGATCTTCTGTAAGTCTCTAGACACAATTACTTTCGCCAGGTTTCATTCTTTGGAGGAAAAACAGCTGCGGTTCTATCTGGAAGCGTCATGGTGACGCTATGAAGCTTCAAGTTTACAAACTGGCTAGCTCAGTGCTTTGATTTTTATGCTACAAACCATACAGCCTTTGGACGTGCTTCCAGGCCTGGGAATACAATGGAGGCAAATTGTTACAGCGATGCCACAGTGCCTGTGTTTGGACAGAATATGCAAATGCAATCGGTGATGCATTCCAGCATGTGCTTCAGGAGCTGCTGCATCGGCACTGCAGCATGAGCTTTGGAAAAAATCACTCTCAAAGGGGTGGCCGAACACGCCTGCTCTGTATGCTGCCACTCCACCTTTTCCACTCATCCCGATTTCCCACGTGGGCCCTACGGCTGCTCTGCCCCCCTCTGCTCCTGTGTTGAGAATGGCTCTGCTTCTCCCTCCGGTAGCTGGGAGGAAACTGCTGGTCGTTTGAGGCTACCAGCAGGAAACAAGGGCCTGATCCCAGTACAATTGCAGCACTGCATTGTGTATGGCGGTAGAGAGAGGAGCGCACATAGTGCTCAAAGGAGTACCATACCCGAAGTGGCTACAGAAACCCAAGAACTTCATATCTACTTTGATCGACATTGTCCAGAACAGGACATTGTGAAGATGGATGTCCGTGCAGCTTGGTGCTCTCTTAGAAGGAAAACAAATACAAGCCTGGCCAGGGTTCATTTTCTGCAGGAGTGCACAGGAGCGGAGCTCTGGCAGTAAAGAGCCCAGGGTAGTGGGCATATGCAACAGGCCCCACCCCCTGCTCCCAGCAGCCCTCAGTCAGAGCAAGAAGCAACCAGGTAAGTTGCAGAGCTCCCCCCGGCCCCCGGTCCAAAACAGTCCAGTGGTACCTTTAAGACCAAGTTTTATTCAGGTACAAGCTCTCCCTCCTCTACCAGGACAGATCTGCACGTCCCCCCCCCCCCAATAGCTAGCAATCCAAAACAGTCCAGTGGAGCGGTGGGTGTTGCCTTCTGACACACTTCTGCTGATGTCAGGGGGTGTGGCATATGCAAATAAGTTATGCTAATGAGCTCCTGCACCTATTTTTCCACGAAATGACCCCTGGTGGTAGCGAGAGGAGTGCACATATTGCTCAAAGGAGTACCACACCTGAAGTGGCTACAAGTAAGTAGAGTGACCCAAGGACTTCATATGTACTTTGATCCACATTGTCCAGAACAGGACATTGTAAAGATGGATGTCTGTGCAGGTTGGTGCTCTCTTAGGGGGAAACCAAATACAAGCCTTGCTACTGTACTGGCTGTACTGCCACCATATGGGAACCAATATAGATTTCAGCTAGTATGCTGTTACTATGTTAAAACTCTACTATTCTGAAGTATACATTTGTGGGATGGGCACGGGGCAATTCCAGCATACGGGCATTCTTCCCCAAAATCAGATAATGAGGCTACCGCTAGGATAAAGAGAAGCCCCAGACAGGATGAGTCAACTGCAGCTTTCCTAGGGATGTTCCAGCACAAAATATGACAGGCAATTTGAATATGGGAACAGGCAAGGCATGTACATTACCGGGTACAGAGGTACTGTGAACTGACAGTAACAAAAACAGGTGAGACCTGTGGCATCCAGGCACAGGGACAGAAAACTGCCGTTCCTTCTATACAAAAAAAAAAAAAAACCGGGTAGAAAACCAGTTGATTCTATACAAAAAAAAAATACAAAAAAAATACCGTGTAGAGAACCAGTTGTTCTTAATGAATGGCCCCAACACTTCACCACTCTCAGTCTCTAAAACATACCATTCACTCTTCCTGCTGGATTTCCAGTGCTGTCTAGAATGAGGTAAAGGTAAAGGTTCCCTTGCTCGAAAGCCAGTCGAATCCGACTCTAGGGTTGCGGTGCTCATCTCCGTTTCAAAGCCGAAGAGCCAGCGCTGTCCGAAGACTTCTCCGTGGTCATGTGGCCGGCATGACTAAACACCAAGGCACACGGAACGCCGTTACCTTCCCACCTAAGCGGTACCTATTTATCTACTTGCAATTTCTTGCTTTCGAACTGCTAGGTTGGCAGGAGCTGGGGCCAGAGACGGGAGCTCACTCCGTCATGCGGCACACTCGGGTCTCAAACTGCTGAACTACCGACCTTGCACAGCCTGCAGTTCAGCGTCTTAACCACTTGAGCCACCGCAGCTCCTGTCTAGAATGAAGCTGGGTCCCATTTCTGTTGCAAGTGATTAAGGGAAAACTAGATCCCGTTTCCTCCTCCAGAAGACGGAGTTGGGACCACACCTAGAAACATACTGCTGAGTTATGCTCTCCCTACAGGGTAGCTTTCTAGTAAGGGGGAAAGTTCAGGAGGGCAGGGGCTCAACGCTGAACACATAAATGTGGATAAGTGCACGGGATGCAACAATGGAAAAACACTTGGCAAACTCCAGGCCGCCTCCTCCTCCTCCCCGTAGCCTTTGGCAGTTGCATCCTGCTCAGGGCAGGCAATTTAAGCAGCGCTTGGGAGTCATCAGAGTGCTTTCTGTAGAGAAAGAACAGGAAATGACCCCCTAAAAAAAACTCATATCCCCAGCCAGAGGAAACACTCCCAGACATCTGGATTATCTACACATTTGGAAACCTCCCGTAATAACAATAGCGGCCCTAGGTGCAGCTCAAGAATTACACCCACTGGGAGATCCCAACCAACTTATTCGACAGCCTCTGTTGTAACTTCTGGGCGGAGTGGAGTTTAGTGCAATTTTTTTAAAAATAGAACGTATACATACACATACACAGTCTCTCCCTCTCTCTCTCCCCCCCCGCGGTTTCCTTTTGAGGAGTCCTACTTTACAAATGAGCTCAGCTGCCGGCCTCTCCCAGACAGAGTTCTCTGGATCTAAGGAGAATAAGGATTCTGCCCTACATAATGGATTCTGCCCTACCTGTGGGCCTCAATACTTGCACATATAATCCCGGGGCCCTCCTCTCTCTCTAATCAGATCAGCAATTCACCCATGGGGAGCATTCCTCAGATAACCCCTTAAAAAGGTAAAGGTTCCCTTGCTCGAAAGCCAGTCAAATCCGACTCTAGGGTTGCGGTGCTCATCTCCGTTTCCAAGCCAAAGAGCCAGCGCTGTCCGAAGATGTTTCCGTGGTCATGTGGCCGGCATGACTAAACACCAAGGCGCACGGAACGCCTTACACTGGGGCAAATTTAACTTCAATAGCCTTCTCCCTCTCTGGCCTAATTGACCTCTTATTCCCATTCTATTCTTGTGTCGGAAAATGTGTGAGGGGGCGGTTGGAATCAAGTCATGGGGTATTTAAAATAATCAGGCTGGGTAGGCTCAGGTTGTGTGACCCAAAATCAGCAACTTTCCCCTGCTTAGCTTTATTCTTGGTCTTGGTGCTCTGAGTGAGGGTGTCTAGGCACGTGGATAAATAAAATGGCGGCTGACACTCCTGTTATATACAGTGAATTTAGCTCCATGGGATTTTAGATAAGGCCTACGAGGGAGAATTCTCATTACTGTCTCCCACCTTACCCTCTGAGGAAAAGTGCCAACCCTCGTCATTGGAAGGGCTGACCAAGTGTGATTTCTAAGGTATATCTGTTGATTTCCCCCACAAAATTCAGAAACGTGTAACGGGAGATCCCACATCCATACAATATATCTCTCAGTTACAAGGTAAGGAAAAGGTAAAGGTTCCCTTGATCAAAAGCCAGTCGAGTCCGACTCTATGGTTGCGGTGCTCATCTCCGTTTCAAAGCCAAAGAGCCAGCGCTGTTAGCACAGTGAAGAATGAACCCATCTTCAGTCCAGGACTGGGGACTCAACCAATGTTCCCTCTAAACCATGGAGTCTTGTGAGCAAAAATTCCACTTTTTGAGCTACTGACATTAAATCTGTGAGTGAGCCATTTGTCTTCTACATAAATCGGTTTGCTCTGGAGCTCTCCTTCCTGAGCTCAGACAAAAATGTGTGCGCTGGAGGCTAAAAAACGGTGAGCTAGCTCACGCTAACTCAGCTTAGAGGGAACACTGGACTCAACCACGTGCAGCTTTGAAGAGACACGAAACTCGTCTCTTGAAATGTTATTAACAGCAGCCCTTTGAGAGAGGGAAGTTAACCTTTCCCTGGAACAGCCCCTCTGTAGCTGCTGTTTCCCCCAATGAGAAAAACTTGGGGTGCCCTGTCGTGGAAAAGAGTAGCTTCAGAAAGGGGGGAGGAGGTCACTGGGGAAAAGGCTAACTTCCCCAGGACGACAGTCCCAATCCTCTGGTCTCCCCGCAGCACAATGAAGAATGAAGCCCTCTTCAGTCCAGGACGGAGGACTCAACCAATGTTCCCTCTAAGCTGTGGCTCTGGTCTCCCCGCCCCAGCCCTATAAATGGAAAAGCAAAAGAGCGCAAGGTCCAGTCAAAGATCCCAAAAGAGCCCTTGGGCTCTTCAGTCATTCACAAGGGCGTTTCATACAGTTGTCACAAGAAACAGGTGTGGGGAAAGTGCACCAGACCTAGGACTGGCAGTGATTAAACTTTCCTTTTTAGAGAGAGAAGCACCTACGACAGAAGAGCGTAAAGGATGAAAATACACAGCAGCCCTAGTTCTAAGATCAATATAAAGGTGAATACCCAAGTTGTGCTCATTCTGGACAGCAAGGTCAGTCTAGATCAAAGCGCCTCTCGCAAGAATCAAGGTCGAACATACTGAACTAGTTCCAAGGCTACACTGCCATGGAGTAGGCGGTCTGCTTCCAGCAGAATAGGTAATCTCGGTTAGCAGATAAACATTGCGCTAATAAAATGTCGTGGCAATTAGGGTTGCCAAGTGTTACCTGTATCCGGAGCGGGTGACTCCCGACTTGCTCTGGGAGTGCGTGCGCCGCACACACACACGTCACCCGGAAGTGATGTGACAACGCCGGGCGCCAGACCTAGGACTGGCAGCGATTAAACTTTCCTTTTTAGAGAAAGAAGCACCTACGACAGAAGAGCGTAAAGAATGAAAATACACAGCAGCTCTAGTTCTAAAATCGATATAAAGGTGAATACCCAAGTTGTGCTCATTCTGGACAGCAAGGTCAGTCTAGCTAGGTCAAAGCGCCTCTCGCAAGAATCAAGGTCAAACATACTGAACTAGTTCCAAGGCTGCACCACCATGGAGTAGCCGGTCTGCTTCCAGCAGAATAGGTAATCTCGGTTAGCAGATAAGCATTGCGCTAATAAAATGTCACTTGTGTGCAACACAAGGGCCCAATTAGGGTTGCCAAGTGTTACCTGTATCCGGAGCGGGGGACTCCCGACTTGCTCCGGGAGTGCGCGTGCGCACCGCACACACACATCACCCGGAAGTGACGTGAGGACGCCGGGCACGCTGGGGCAGAGCCACGACCATACCATAGAGTTTTCCCTCGGATGACCGTGGCCCCACCCCCAGCGTGGGCCTGAGACCCTAACCAAGGTCCCTCAACCCCACCCTCCCAAGCTCCACCCTCAAATCTCCAGGTATTTCTGAACCTGGAGTTGGCAACCCTAGGACTATGCTTTTGAAGGTGTCCGGAAATGTGAGGGAGATTTTCGGGGTATGACCCTCCAAGAGTCAAAACTCCCTGCAGTCTGGACACTGCCATAAAATGCGACACCCTTTTTGTGAGCCCTCCGGGGAGGGCAGGGTAGAAACATAATAATAAATAAATAAATAAAATCAACGTGAAAGTGGCGTGCAATGCAGAGGGGAATTTCTGTTCCAGTGTGGGATTGGCATGACAGCGGTGCAAATGCTAGATGCAGACTGGGCCCCAGTTTCCACTCGCATAATGCAGCAGCATTGCAGCCAGGGGGCCACTTTAGGAAAGGCAGCATTTGTGATCACAGAGAATGAGCCTCTACATGCACACATTTTGTACCAGCATAGACATCATTCCATGCTTATACCCAGGTGGTCACGGGGGGGAGGGGGGAGAAACACACTCAATCCTGCTCCCCCTGTATGCATACTCATTACAACATGAGTCGCATCTGCACTGAGTGTGTTGAGTTCACAGTCCCTGAAAGGGACAGTCGTACTATTCCTTGACCTCCCTTCCCCCAAACATCTCAATATGAAGCTGCGTCCATTTACGCATGATCACTGCTTTTTGCAGCGGCTGCCGCCAGCTGAGTGTCTATCGGTTTGCAGACCACCATTAAGTACTGCTTGCATTAGCAATGGCAGGTGATTAGGGTTCAGACGTTTCTCAGAACAGTGCAGGCTGCATTCACTGCTTTACAAGCCCCACCCAGCCTTCTAGAATGCCTGGAGGACATCCGAGTCACAAAAGATGAGTGGCTCGGGAATCATCCAGCTGTCTACTGCAAAAGTGACAGAGCTCGATACTTTGCCCTTGGGCTGCAGTTCACACGTGCCGTTTGTGGCACTGCAGTGGTGTTTCAACACAATAAGTAATTCAACACATGTAATCCATCATAGGAAAATACAAAAGTGGAGGCATGTTTGGTCCAACTTACATAGCAGCAACCTTGGTAGGTGCTTTCTAAAGTTTAGGAGACCTGGCCCATATAGAAACTGAATAATGTTTACCTGTTAAGAAACTGCAATGAGACTTCCTGTAGTGGCTTTTCGTTCCTGAGGAAGGACCTGAAGTCCGAAACACCGATCAATACCTAGGAAAAGTGTTGGACATCTATTCCAGACTTTATCGTTTCCCTCTGAGAGATTCCTATTCTGGACTTTGTTCTTCCCCTTGGGGAAATTGTGGACTTTTGTATTTTCCTATGATGGATTACATATGTTGAATTACTTATTGTGCTGAAGTCGCTTTTTGTAAGCTCTTGTGCTGGTTCTTACAGTGCACAGTTGATATTTTTTGGTTTTTCTTGGTCACTGTTTACTGTGGACTGTATTGTTGTTGTTACTGCAGTGGTGTTACCTGAGCGGAATAAATAGGCCCCTCCAGAGGAGGACGTCTGCCTCCCGTGGTGTTCCACAGTGGAAGAGGAATAAACAGATCATGGGGGGAGTCCGGTATTAACGGATTGTGCACAATTCCCTCCGGGTTCTTCAATGTCTGAAGTCTCCTGCAGCAAAAGGAACCCGGAAGGAACGTCTGAACCTGCAGATCCCATTTCTGCTGCTGGGGTGGTTTTTGGTTTTGTTTTTAAAAGTTTTCGCCTAGATGTGCACGCACCCACCTGCATTTTTTTTAAAAAAACAACCTGGCAGTGCGCTCCGTGGCTGAGGGACTGTAGTGATGTGGATGCCTGGCCACGGGATGGCCGTATGGGTAACCGCGCCAAGCCACCCGTGTGAACGCAGCCTGCGTCCCATTTTTTAAAAAATATTTGTTTTTATTAATTTTTAACAGCGTAAACACAACAGAATTAGACACAAAGAGCAATTACTGGCTCAATTAAACAGCTTTTCTTACATAACTCCCATGGTATCACAGTAAAATCAAACATTTGTATAGACTAAGTACCAAACAGTTAAAAGAACAACAGCTTCTTGTATAGCGGGTTTTTCGGAACTGTTTCACTATTTTCTAAATAATGAATAATAGGAAACCCTACTGCCTGAAACCACTTTTGGTATTTCTCTGATTGCATGGCTGAAGAGTTGTAAGAGGTGCGCCCATAAATCTCTTTTTTAATCCCACTCTTCCTCCAAGAAGCTCAGAGCAACACACACGATCCTTTCCACAACGTGAACTCCCAAGTCTGTGATTTGGGGTCATTCTCTCACAACTGCCACTTCCTTTCCCGCAGACTCACCTTCGTCATGAGATCACACATTTACAATTCATGCAGCCCGGACCACTTTCATCCGGGGGGTTCAGCTTGCGTAGCTTGTGCTGCCGGATCTCTCGCACTAAAGTGTAGAAGGCATCTTCGACTCCCTGCAAGACAGCAACGAACGGTCTCAGGTAAAGAAACCACAACGAGAGAAGACGGCGAGGTGTGGCAGCCAGGGAACACCACAGATTAATTTATTTTGCTTAGTTTCACCTTCCCCCCCCCCCAGCGGGAACCCAACGCAGTTCACATCATTCTCCTCTTCTCCATTTTATCCTTACAATGACCATGTTAGGTAGGCTAGACTGAGAGTGTGCGAGGGGCCCACGGTCACCCAGCAAGCTTCTATGGCCAAGAGGGGATTCGAACCTGGGTCTCCCAGATTCTAGTCCAACCACTACACCACCCTGGCTCACTTTCTCGCACACTTACAATGATGTTGCTGTAAACAGGTAGAAGAAGAGATTGGATTGATCCCCCATGGCCCTTCACTCCCCAAAGGAGTCTCAGAGCGGCTGACAAACTCCTTTCCCTCCCCCTCCCCACAACAGACGCCCTGTGAGGTAGGCGGGGCTGAGAGAGCTCTTGACGGAAACTGCTCTTTTTTCAGGGACAGCTCTTATCAGAACTAGGGCTTGCCCAAGGTCACCCAGCCAGGTGCAAGTCGAAGAAAAGAAGAAGAAGAGATTGGATGTATACCCCATGGCCCTTCACTCCCCAAAGGAGTCTCAGAGCGGCTGACAAACTCCTTTCCCTCCCCCTCCCCACAACAGACGCCCTGTGAGGTAGGCGGGGCTGAGAGAGCTCTTGACGGAAACTGCTCTTTTTTCAGGGACAGCTCTTATCAGAACTAGGGCTTGCCCAAGGTCACCCAGCCAGGTGCAAGTCGAAGAAAAGAAGAAGAAGAGATTGGATGTATACCCCATGGCCCTTCACTCCCCAAAGGAGTCTCAGAGCGGCTGACAAACTCCTTTCCCTCCCCCTCCCCACAACAGACGCCCTGTGAGGTAGGCGGGGCTGAGAGAGCTCTTGACGGAAACTGCTCTTTTTTCAGGGACAGCTCTTATCAGAACTAGGGCTTGCCCAAGGTCATCCAGCAGGTGCAAGTAGGAGTGGGAAATCAAATTCTCCCAGATTAGAGTTCGCGCACTTAACCAGGACGCCAAACTGGGAGGAAGGTCAAGGTACAATTACAAGCAGAGGCTCCTTCACAAATTTACCCGCTTCTCCATGTGAGCACCGACCGTCTGCTGTCATCAAAAAAGGAACATCGGGCCCTGGCGGCACCCCGTCCCAGCCAGCAGCACTCCCTGTGACCACAGCAGCACCTGTCCCGTCTAGAAATCAACCAGGCAAGCACTGCCAGCGATACCGGCACAAAGCTCTCCACTTCGTGCCATGTGGTGGCACACGTGGGCCAGTGTTTGGCCCCGTGAGCTGCCTTGTGTCGGTGCCCGCAGTAGGGCAGGAGGGAATGTCTTACACAACAGCAGGACTCCCGAGAACACTGTCCCTGGGTGAGATCCTGACTAGCCTGCTGCTGAGCTAGACTACCTTGCCAGCTTCAGCTCAGTCCCAGCCTGTTGTAGTCCACACTCCTGTTCACCAGCACTCAAGGGCCATCAGCTGAGGCCACAGAATCCAATTCAGAAATCACAGCCGGGGCACTGGTAGCCTTGTAGCACATTCAGGGGTCAATTCCTGCGGGAGCGCACAGGAGTGGAGCTCCGGCAGTAAGGAGCCCAGGGGGTGGGCACATGCAACAAGCCCTGCTCCCAGCAGCCCTCAGTCAGAGCAAGAAGCAGCCAGGTAGGTTGCAGAACCCACCCCCCCCCCGGTCCACATCGCCATCACCCTCCAC